TCTCCTAATACAAAACATTCAGTTGGCTTAAGATCTTTGGGCTAGGGAAGTAGCTCAGTGGTAGAGCACATGCTTAGCATGTATAAGGTTCTGGGTCCAATCCCTAGGGACCTCCACTAATAAATAAATATAGAAATAAATAAATATCATCAATGTGATAGCAAGCACTAGATGAAATAATTAAAGTGAAATATGACTGACATGTTAGCAAGTGAAGCTTTACCCTACGTAAAGGCCAGAATTCAATTAAGCATTTTAAAACTCTGGAAAAATCCTTGAACCTAATAATCAATCTCTCAGAATCCCTGAGAAGTATAGGGACTCCAAACTGAGCACTTTAGTGTCTCCCAACATCAACAGAAACATCCAAGTCAAAGCTGACATTTTAAAAATCTATTTCTTATGCTTATATACATTTTTCAAACATGGGTACCAATAACAACATCTGCCTTATTTATGTCATCTTTCAATTAAATTTGAAAAAATAAAAGGAATTAGAAATGAGAAGGCTGTACTCCATTGCAGAGTTAAATTTGTATTGCAAAATTTACCTGATTTCAATCTTTGTAAATTCTTCATTTCTCCTGTTTTATTAGGAACAGAATCTTTCACTCCAACTGCAGGCTGAATGGTTTTTGAAACAAACCGATTAATAATGTACATTTGATACAATCTGTTGTAATAATTCAAGGGGGGAGGATCTAGCTCAGTGGCAGAGTGCCTGCTTAGCAGTGCATGAGGTCCTAGGCTAAATTCCCAGCACCCTCATTAAAAAAAAAATTCAAGATAAAAGTACAAAAGTTTTTACCTTCAGGTGAGGATATCTTTCAGTAGAATCTAAAAGCCAAAAGGGACACATAATCAATTATATGTAAATATGAAAGCCAACTATCCATTCATGCAGTTAGTACTGAGTGCAACCCTCATGCTTGCTTTAGAAATGAACACGTTAGGTTTCGGTGTTTTGTTTTTCAGGGGCAGTTAGGACAGCAACAAGACAGAAATTTGAATCCATTAAACATACTCAATAAAGAGCAGGAATATAGGTTTAACAAAACATGCAGTTAAGATCTCAAAAGTACGATTATGTTTCAAATGACTTTATAAAATAGAAACGCGCACGTATACCAATGTGAACATGCTGCCTGAGGAGGAGAAAAGCGATCTCCAATCAGAGGAACAAGTCACGGCTCCAAGAAGACAAATGTGAAAGCTGATGGTAAAATGCAACAGCACATCTTTCATGCGACTGACACCATTAGACTACAAGTATTTATCACGCTCTTCAATTTGTCCTGTGATTTAGGAAGTCCACAGTAGTGATGGCAGTTCATTCGAATGTGCAATTCACTTCCCATCAGAGAAAGTGTTATGAATTGATCAGCTTGGATACACACTTGTAGAATAATCGTTCATAAGCATTTTTTCCCATACCCACATGGGCTATTGGTATGCCTACATTTCTTGGATCCTCTAGCCATCAAAGTTTCTTGATCCACTCATACAAGAAAGAATGTATACTGTTTTCAATACTGAAATCTGGTGATCAAAAAATAATTCATCGCCACAGAATTATTAGACATTAAAAGTCTTTTATATTTCAAAACCTGTGTAGTATTCACTGAAAATAACAACTTTAGCATTTATGGAATGAATTCTATTAACTTCTTTTATTTCCAAAATTGGTTTGGTAAGTCAGGCTAATGTTTAAAAGGATGTTTGTGAAACAACTATCTTATCAAAAAATTAGGTATCAGTAAAAAACAAACAAACAAACAACACAGCCAATGTTTCATATTCAAATTAATCTCGCTTGAATAACAAATACCAATACGACATAATATCTTTGAAGCCTGATAGGAGGAGTGGCTGTGGTTTACCCCAATTCTAGGCCGCCTCCTGATTCCAGTATTCTCTGGAGTAGCAACGATCTAACCTTGCTTCTGTACAAATATACTGACGCCATCAAAAAAGGCGTTCTCGCAAGTTTCCCCTCAATTCCAAAATCACCTACCTGCGGCCTTTTTTCCCTCCTTCCTTCCTTTCACTTTCCTCTTCAAAGGTACCTCTAGATCTGTGGTCTTAATGCTTCCCCTTCTCCATTCTTTGGACGGATGATGCCCACCACTTCTTTTCCCTCTCTGCTTAGCAGCAGTATCTTACATCTCTAATTTCTACTTTAACTCTTTGCCTCGCTCTGGCTATGAACGTGCTCAGAAAGAAAAACAAAATCGTGCTTTTCCTTGATGCTGTTATGTCTTTAACTCCCCAGTGGCTCTTCTTCTAGATTGCCCTAAACACAAGTCTACCCTCTGAGTGTGATCTGAAGACCAGCAACAAGGGCATCACCTGAGAGCTTGTTAGAAACGCAGGCCCACTGCTCACAATGTGCACTTTTCACTGGGTCCCCAGGTGACGGAGTAAAATGTGAGCAACTCCGGTCTATACCGAGTCTGCTTCTGCAGCACTCGGACTGAACTGATCCTTCTGAAATCCAGCCGCACGCGTCTCACTGTAACACGTCCCCAAAAGCTGCATCAGGAGTTGCAGACTTTCCAGTGGACTCTTTACCAGGCTCCAGCGCCCCTGACCTCCCCGGAATGCCCCCTGCCCTCTTCCTCTTTCCCACTCTCTTCTGTTGGCCTATGAGACACCATCTTATAAGGCAGAAGCACACTGCATGACACGAAGGTCCAGACAGACAGCTGACCACACGCGTCTGTGCTCACCCACGGCAGCCACACCCAGCT